TGTCAAAATATGGCTGAGCTCATGGGCAGCAGGCTGCTTTGACACAGGCACACAAAAACTTATTCCCTGACATGACAAGTACCTCAGTTTTGGAGGTGACTAAATTGTGGAGTAGCTTAAGTATGTTCATATTTTTTTCGTATTGTTTGTTTTGTTAACAGCTCACAAGAGGTTACATTTTGAACAGCCCACCAGAGGTTACATTTTGAACAGCCCTCCTATCATATATTGGTGAATTACTGCTTTGTTTCATGACCCTGATGGAACTTCAGGCAACCCTGTGGCCGCTTGTAGCTTCTAAGCTAGAAACATATTCGTCTATTTTGCTTTCTCCCTTCCTACTCTCACTGCATGATAGTGTGAACGATGCCATGAACCCACTAAAAGCTTAAATTGGATTTAACACATAAACAAAAAACGGGAACTCCGTAGTTTTAGTCCGCAAGTGAACTATACCAACTGAGCGACCGCCGCTTGTTGGCGAAGTTAGTGCCAACTTCAGCGGATAGAGGGTGTTGAGTGGTCAGCGAAACAAATCCCCAAACCATTAATTTCGTTTTCTAGACTGGAGCCGCTATTTCCTTGAAATAGCTCCTCAATTGTCCTCATGAGGCTGAGTGGACCCCGTTCGAGACCCACAACTACTCACAAAATCTGGTAGTGCCAGGAATAGAACCTGGACCTCTGGATCTGTAGCCAGGAACTCTGACCACTAGACCACAGAGGCAGCCTGGATTTTACACATATAATATATAATTTAAATTCATGACAACTACATGCAGTTTTGTGTCTCTTAAAAAGGGAAGATGCTCATCTTCTATATAGGTAACTAGGATGCTGATCATTTCTGACATTATCTAGACATGCAAAGCAAAACCACTTATCAGAAAGTTCTGCAAGTTCAAAGATGAAAAATTAATGTCTGACTAGAGATCAAAAATTCTTTTAAATTCATTGTAAAAAATTAGTGACTATACAACCCTAACTAAAATTACTGTGTACTGAAAGTTGGAATAAGAACACTGGTTTTGTTCATATGAATGATACTGTGATCAAACCGCTTGCAGTTTATGGAAAACATGGAAATCAACAACCAAATACTACTTCCTTTTATCTGATCAAACTAACCTGAATGTGTTAGTAATTTGTAACTTATATGGGGTAAACCTGCCCATGAAGTGTTCTGCGAATGACCTCTACAAGGTCTGACTTGGGCTGCATGGGATATTAACATCAAGTCTTGGCTGGCCATCATCTCCGGCAATTTACATCTCTTGGTATCGCATCACTGGCTTCCCAAGAGTCGCCCTTGAAAATATTGTACATGTTCAGATATGGACAAATCTCAAGATTAATTTACTACTGTCAAAATTATGATGTAGGACTTCATGTTTATCCATGTTTCATACAAAAAATGTATTAAGGGCAAAGTGTGTTTTCGAGTTTTTGGGTAATTAACCTTTCTACATGGGAGATTTACATGCCAGACCATAATCTAGTGTGGAAGGAGCTTCAATTGGGTATTTAAATTCAAGTGTGTGAGTGTGTTTGCCTAATTGTACCCAGGCAAGCCACATAATCTGTTTTGTTGTCACTGTTTATTTTAGTTTACCAGTCAAGGCTTGATTAGTGTAAATGAAGGAAGGAATGAATGAATAAATAAATTACAGCCAAAGAAATAAAATAACTGTATACTAGTAATTAAATTATACTCATCATCATCATCATCAGTAATCTGTCAGATGACAGGGCCACAGTCTCTTCCAAAACAATTCCTCCACTTAATGCGATCTAGAGCTTTCTCCTTCAAATGACAGTATCCTCTTCTGTCCCCAAGGTCATCCAGCATCTTCTTACGTCTTCTTGTCACTTCTATCTGCCCCTCTATCTTTCCTTCAATAACTTCTTTTAGAAGGCAGTTTCTGCGTAAAACATGACCAATCCAATTAGCCTTCCGTTTTCTTATTTCATGTAGGATATTCCTTTGCTCACTTCTTCATTTCTCACATAATCGGTCCAACTGATCTTCTCCATCCTTCTCCAACACCACATTTCAAAACTTTCCAGATGTTTCTGATCTACTGCCCTAAGTGTCCATGTTTCAGCCCCATACAGAGCTATGCTCCAAATGTAGCATTTCACTAGTTTCTTCCTCAAATTTAAGTCCAATTTGCTGGTAAAAAGATTCTTCTTCTTGCTAAATGCAGCTTTTGCCATGGCAATCCTGGATTTAATTTCACAAGTACACCTTCCATCATCTGTTAACAAGCTACCCAAATATTTAAAACATTTCACATTCTCCAGTTGTTTTTGGTCTATCTTTATTGTGACTGGGGTTGGTTGTCTCGAAATTTTCATTACTTTTGTTTTCTCCACATTCATTTCCATGCCATAGCACCTTCCAATTTCAATTAGTCTATCAATCATGCCCTGTAGCACAGTTTCTTCCTTAGCCATTAACACAAGGTCATCTGCATATTTCACAGTTTGAATAATTTGCCCTCCTACTTTGAAGTCTCCGAGCCCATCCAGAGCTTCCTTGGTAAGGCATTCGCTGTACAAGTTGAACAGAATTGGTGATAAACAGCATCCTTGTCGAACTCCTCTTCCAATCTGCACACTTCCTGTCTCCCCCGTGTCCAGTCGTACTCTAACTTTCTGATCCATGTACAATTTGCTAATTAATCTTCTTTCACGCCAATCGATACCTGTTTCCTTTAGGATCTGCATTAATTTGGTCCAGTTTACACGGTCAAATGCCTTCTGCCAGTCTATGAAGCAAACACACAGTTCTTCATCTATCTCCAAAGTTCGTTCCGCTATAATTCTCATCATCCCAATTGCATCCCTGGTTCCTTTTCCTCTTCTAAATCCAAACTGATCTTCTCCAAGTACATCCTCTATTTTCCTTTCAATTCTTCTTTTAAGTATCTTTGCTATTATCTTTGCTGTATGTGCAATAAGGCTTATTGTGCGATGGTCGCTGCATTTTGTAGCTTTTGTCGTTTTCTTTAAGGCAATCATTGTCACTTCTGTAAAGTCCTTGGGCCACTCCCCAGTTTCATATACAGTGTTTATTAGTTTTGTCAGTGTTTTCAAACCACCTTCTCCCAGCACATCTCCAGGTACATCATCATCTCCTGTAGCCTGTATACTCGTTGGAAGAATATTTTTATCTATGTTGCTGCAGTCCCGCTTGCCATTTTTGACTGTTTTTCCTGTATTCACAAGCATCCCTTTTGGGGATCTATGGATCTATGAATGTATGAACAGAGATTGCTTGCTTGCTTTTACTTACTCTTACTTACATATTTTATAACCTTTAACGATGTACTCTTTGACATTGTTTTTGACAAAAAGTTCAAATTGTGACACACAAGTATAATTAACTTGTAAGAAAAAAAAAATAAAGCTATCCCTGTACCAGGCCGTGAAGTCCCATAGGGTTGTGAGATGTTGAGGGTCCCACATTATTTAGACAATCAGCTCAAAGATGGTGGTAAGGTTCTCAACTTTATGCACCAGCCACGCTTTACTCCCCAGGAAAATTATTTAATTAATTCCTGGTACTCATTTCTGTTAGAGGCTTGAGTAAACCCCAGGGGCCTAGTGTGGCTGGAAGGATTAGGTCAACTGAAAAAAATCCAATGACCTCATAAGGACTTGAAACCACGACCTTCCGGCTTGTAGCATAGCCCCTCAACCAACTACGCTACCGCGTGCCCCAAGAAATATGTACCATGCTGAAAGTAGCCACAGTGTGCTTAACTTGTGGTTTTTATTGTCTAAAGTAGAAACAGAAAAGAAGGACCCAGAGGTAAGGCAACAACATTGTAAATAATTAACTTGTATCTATATAAATTATAATCTTATTACTTATTAGTGATGTACTCATCAACATTATTTCTGTTAACAGGTTCAAATTGTGTTGCATAAGTACATTTAACTTATATTTATGTAATTTGTAATCTTATTAATTTTTCAATTACACTGCTATTGTACAGATGTCATTGTATTTGACTTGTTCAATATCCTATGGTGTCTACTTGTATCTGGATTTAGAGAAAGTAAATAAATTAAACAATTGAAGCATGTGATATAACACTGGCTCTAACACCAGTAATAACCCTATTATGTTCTCACCAACAAATGAAAACTAATGTCTCCTAAATACTAAAACATTAATCCAGAATGCCTTCAATATTCTCATCAAATACATGTTCACAACTCAACACCATGCCTACTAGCAGCTGATTTACAATCAACATTTCCAGTTATTTAAAAACTGATAATATACATGCCAAATGATAGTCCTGAATAAGAATATGAAAGAAGGAATGATGCGGTTTCAATAGCATTCATCAGATAAAAGTGCAAAGCACAAGCAGTATTCCATGTGCAATGCATGGCATGCCAGAGCACTAGGTATCACCTGCATAGTGAGCAATGCGTGACACTCCACACTGATGGGTTAATACTTTTAGCACATACGTTCATGTTATAAAAACAGTGACTCAAGCAAACACTTTGTAAATGGTTAATTTATATTATGCTCATAAAGGCAAGACAACAGACTACAGAAAATTGGAAGTAAAAAACTGCTGTTGAAGCATGTTGTGACAGACCTTCACAGGACACAAGTTTCTGTACTGCTAATTTGAAGTCTCAAGAGATAAAACACGTTCTCTTGCAAGAATCATGTGTTTTTAATAAACTTTTACTAATTTACAAAATCTAAAATTTTCCCCTCAACTCTAATTTATAATGCAGAAGATTATTAACTTCTGGGATGAGATGCCATGTAGTTCCCAGCACAGCAAAGGAATGTTCTGCCTTCACCTCCTGCTCTGAAGATGGTGGCAACGAATTCCTTAAAAAATAAGCCACTTGACTAGACTAAGCAGCATCACATTACAAAAGACAATAAGTCTCACAGCCATGGCACTGAGAACCTCAGACTCTCATCATTGGGTTAAATGGCTTTGATTATAACTACTCACCCACATTCTGGCAAGTTGTGATCAGTCTGCTATTGGAAATGACCCCAAACTCTTCCACTTTTGAGGCAAGGAATACACATGTTGGTGCCAACAACAATGGGTCAATGCACTTTAGAGAATTGCGAGCATAAAACCGCTTGAAGAAAACAGTAGCAGTAGCAATTACTTGCTGCCTTAGTTTCAGCTGTTCTCCAAGAATCTGAATCACTTAAAGAGAGTGAATAACAATGTAAAATGCAGTAACCATGGAATGGAAAACTATATTAACACAAATTTTTCATTAATCTATTTGGAGCATCTGTGCTTTTATTACAATTTGATACTTTTCATATTTTTCTCTCAACACTGCGTGGCACCATATCCTTCTATACACAAGAAAAAGAATTTTAGAAGTGAAACTTCTGATATTATAAACTTTCAGGTGACAATAGCAAGGAACTGACAAGCTTTAACAAGCTGCATGAACATAGTTTCTGTAACAAGTCATGAACAAGCAAACAGTTCTTTCACAGAGATATTGGGTTTTCAGACTTTATCCATCGTCCTGGTTTTTAAGATAACTAAGAAAAACACGACGTTCTGGAAACTGGATCTGTTTCTGTCCTCAGGTGAGGGAAAACACCTATTCTGTTGGGTCCCTTAGAAAGAGCTAGCCTCAATCAGTCGTCCAGTGATTGAGGCTAGCTCTTTCTAAGGGACCCAACAGAATAGGTGTTTTCCCTCACCTGAGGACAGAAACAGATCCAGTTGCCAGAACGTCGTGTTATTCTTAGTTATCTTAAAAACCATGATGATGGATAAAGTCTGAAAACCCAATACCTCTGTGTGTTATACACCATCATCAGAATCCTCTATGAACAGTTCTTTCTTTCAGCCTATTGATAGGTTTAATATTTTGATGTTGACATGTGAAGTGAAATTAGTATCTAACATGTGATTATGTTGATAAAGATCTACAGGCTTTTCTCACTTTCAAAACATGCATAAAGATGTCCATATAGACCAGTTTACTATTATGCTCACCTACAGCATCTTATTATAGAATAAATTAAAATACTTGTAAATGGTTTATTTCATATCTGACAATCCCAAGACAGTAAGTCATGACAAAATCCCCAAATATTCAGGAAAGTATCTAATCTAACTCGGGTAAAGTTCAACACAAAGTTCCTCAACATTCTATACTTATCTCTAAATATATTGTAAAACGGATATCCAATTACATTTGTGTAATTATTACAATTACAATTTGTGTTAGTATCTTCATGCTGAATCCTTCATATCTATACTGAATAAGACATACTGCACGCCGATTTGTCCTGCATCCTACTATCTGGGACCTATATGTACATGTCAAGTTAAATTTGTACACAGAACATAAAGTTGTTAATTAACTTACAATTTGAGAAGAAAATGAAAATCTTCTGGTACTCCTCCTCAGTAAGGACAATAAGATCCTGCTGTCGCTCACGTATCAAGTCTTGTCGGTCTAGCAACCACTGCTGACTGTACATAAACACAAATTTATGATAGCACAAATCTTGCACTTGGATTTAATGACTAAATTTACCTTACAGTTGAATATGATCTGACAGTGTCACATTTCTCAGGTATTATCACCCACAAATATTTTATGCATATGGAGGATAAAGTGATGCGTGAAGTGTACCATCCTGTTCACTTCTAATTGATTACAAGGCGCTGCATTCCACAAGATGGTATTCTTTATAGTCACCACTATTAAAACCTCAAAGCGATTACCTATCTCAAATTATGCATACTCACTATATGAACATTCTTTATAGTCACCACTATTAAAACCTCAAAGCGAACATATTACGCTTACCTATCTCAAATTATGCATACTCACTATATGAACATTTTGGAAATTAAGATCACTGCAAAATTTCTTTCAGCATGTACTTGCAAAACTTAACTTTGATGACAACTTCACTTGAATAATACTCACTGATGAGAACTCTCCCAAAAGTTTCCTGCCATTGAGTTTTCGCACTCTAGTTTATGACTTCTTTATTATGAAACAACGGCATAATTCTACGGACGTTGCATTAAAGTAGATATAAATCAATGCCACTCCTGTCATTCACCTTCCCTCCATCAGCTGGGCGTCCTACCTTCTTTTTTTTCGGTTTGCAAAATACAATCCTCCGCTATCCACGGCAGTCCACGGCGTCCATGGTGCAGATATAAATTCAAAACATGCAATAATCTCTGTAAGTATAACGTACTGCACTTACTACTCCAATGTGGTGTATACACAAACTTACATGGTTAATCTTCAGTGTAGCGAATCAATGGTAGTGTCAAATTTCTAAGGCAAAGCTTCATGATGGATCCTCACATAGCACTCAACGGTGATCAAATCCTCCTTTGCACCGTGTAGGTCAGTGCTTTTAAGCGCCGGGCCGTGGCCAAGTAGGGGGCCCTGGCATCAATAACACTGGGCCGCCAGAGGCTCTTCTGGAATTTGTCATTTTCATTTTCTAAGCATTTTTCATGAATAAATATTTTATGGTGAAAATATTCTGAGGGGAATAATATTTGTGTCGAGAAGCTCAGACACAGAACACCTAAATCTGTGTAGCAAATGTCAGTGACCAAGCCGCATATTTTTAAACATGGAAGTATTCATGAATGATCGGGAATTTTCAGACATCCAAATCTTTCAACATTCGGCAAAGGTAATACCGAAGTTTATGACTAGTAATAAAAATTGCCTACAAGCCGATTACAACAATGGGCGTCATTTCCTATGTTCTCAGAACTGAGCGAAATAACAACTGTTTTGCAAATGTCAGTGACCAATCAGCAAGGAAGTATAAAGAAAATGTTTCCACTGAAATTGGCGATCAAGGCAGTCTGGATCCGGTTCTCAGATCTAGTAAAACTGAATACTGTATCTTCGCAAGTTCGCATTGCAGCGTGTAAGTCCTTGTTTCGAAACCTGAGTGATTTAAATTTTAATATGAATAAGAGACAGGGAACTTTGTTTAATTTTGGTGCTAAAATCTCGTATTGAAGGTGTTTGTGACGCAACAAGTAGTGATTCATTCATCTCAAGCCTACATAGCGATCTCCAGGATGTACAAAATGAAGGAAAAACCACCAGCACACAGAAGAAAGGGTCTGCATCCATTCATAAGTACATGGACAGCTACTTAAAATTTGGTTTCATACAAGGCCCTAACACTCACCAATTGCCACGACCTCAATGTGTCATTTGTGCTACTGTTCTGGGAAATGAAGCTATGAAGCCATCGCGACATATCCGACATCTCAACACGAGACATTCCGATCTAGTAAAAAAAGTATTGAATTCTTTATGCGTAAAAGAGATGCAATTAGAGTAGAAAAGAAAATTATTTACCAAACTTCAACCACTGACATTTCACTTCTGACGGCATCCTATTTAATATCACTACAGAGAGCTAAATGTAAAAAATCATATTCCATTGGGGAAAACTCGTTAAGCCTTCTCTGATTGCTGCTTGTATTGAAGTATTAGGCCAGTCTGAGGCAAGTAAAATGAACGATATCCCATTGCCTAATGATACAGTTGGTAGGCGGATATCTGATTTGGCAGAAGATACAGAAACGCAAGTCATTGTAAAAATTAAAAAATCGAAATCTTTTGCATTACAACTGGACGAATATACAGATATTCAGAACAGCAGCATTTTACTTACGTATGTACGATATATTGACCATGATGAGAGTGACATGAAGGAAGACATTTTAAGTGATTCTGAATTACCTACGCACACTACCAGTAGTGAAATTTTCGAAGTATTAAATGGTTTCATTGAAGAGAGAGAGGTCTCAAATGGAAAAATTGCGATGGAGTTTGCACTGACGGCGCTGTCTTACAGGTAGAAATTCAGGTTTGGTCAGTAAAATTAAGGATATGGCGGGCAATAACGTATTGTTAACGCATTGTTACTTTCATAGGCAAAATCTGACCTCAAAAAGTATGGCACCGGAGATAATGAAGTTCTGTCTCAATCTGTTAAGAATATTAATTTTATAAAAACAGTGCTTTAGATACAAGACTGTTAAAAGCATTATTGGATGAAATGGGCTCTGATCATCAAAATCTTCTTTTCCATTCGGAAGTTCGTTGGTTGTCCCGCGGTAAAGTTCTCAAGAGGTTATATGAACTCTGAAAGGAAGTCGAGCTCTTTATAATTGATAAGAAAAGTAACCTGTCCCATTATTTCCAGGATAAGAATTGGGTAGCCAGGCTGGCGTATCTCAGCGACATATTTTCTTACATGAACGGGTTGAATTCAAAATTTCAAGGTCCAGATACAACAATATTTAATGAGTGGAGCAAGATCGAACCATTCAAAAAGAAATTCAAACTCTGGCTTAATATGATTGCAAAAGGAAACAATGAAATGTTTCAGTCGTACTCAGATTATATTATGGAAGCAGATGATTTCTATTCACAGAATTCAGTTTCAGATATTATTGCAGCCCACTTGAAGATGTTGTTGTCGTTTGAAAAATATTATCCCTAACATGAGGATCCCCGGAGGCAAAATATGTGGATTGTGAACCCTTTTGTCGAACACAAAGAGACAGCCCTATTCCATGAAGGAACACTTCGACTTATTGAATTATCATCCGACAAATGACTGAAAAGTATCTTTAATACTACGAGTAATTCGAAATTCTGGATAAGAATGAAAAATAAATATGCAAATTTACATGAAAGAGCAGTGAGATTTCTCCTTTGTTTTTCCACCACATATCTTTGTGAAACTGCATTTTCTGCCATGACTGTGCTTAAAACGAAACAGAGGAACTGCCTGCAACTTTCTGACTGTCTCCGTTTGTCTCTCACTTCAATTCATCCCAGAATTAATAAGCTAACGGACGGAAAACAGAAACAGAAGTCTCACTAGATTAACTAAAACCTTCCAAACTCAGTTGTGATAAAAGAAA